GTTGCTGCTGTGCTTGGGCATGACAGCGGCGCTGGCCCGGGGCTGCCTGCACTGCGACCCCAATTTCTTACCGAAGTTCTCCTTCTACCGCCACCACGTGAACCTCAAGTCCTGGTGGGTGGGTGACATCCCCGTGTCGGGAGTGCTGCTCACCGAGTGGAGCCAGAACACGATGAAGGAGCTACACCTGGCCATCCCCGCCGAGATCAGTGAGCGGCGGAGCCCATCCCAGGGTCAGGAGAAGAGCAACAGGGACCCCGGTCAGGGCAGCTCATCTGCTTCCTCTCCCTCCCGCCCTCAGCCCGGGAGAAGCTGGAGCAAGTGGCAGGAGCAGTGTACCAGAGGATGGACCAGCTGTACCAGGGGAAGATGTACTTTCCAGGTAAAGAAGGGAAGCTGAGGCAGGGCCCGTGCGGGCCGCCAGGCACCTGAATTTGACCACTCTTATGTGACTCCCACATCAGGGTATTTCCCCAATGAGCTGCGGGCCATCTTCCGGGAGCAAGTGCGCCTCCTCCAGAACGCCATCATAGAGAGTGAGCAGTGGGCTCTGCCAAGGGGACTGTGCCCGTGGCCACAGGCACTTCAGGGCTGGAGGGCGCTGTAAACGGTTCAGGAGGGAGTGGCTCGTCAGGAGGCCCTTTTGCATGAGTAGTCACCAGCACACCCACCACCCCCTCACAACTGTCATACTTGTCTCCTGGTGGCACCGGGAGCATTGTAACCACCCTTCCTCTAGGTTAGCTCCATCTTGCACTGGGGGCCTCCTAGAGGACCCCTTCCCACTTCCATGAAACACATGTGGCACATGCCTGTAATCAGCCTGTAATCTGGAATGAGGAAATGAGGCAAAGGATTGCCACAAGTTCCAGGTCAGCTTGGGGTACCTTCTCCATGCCAGACTCCTGGGCTACAGAAACAGAAGTGGGGCTGAGGGACAGGTCTTGAGCTCTGGGCCTTGTCAGAAGGCACTGTCTTGTTGTGTCCCCTTCACCCCCAGGCCGCATCGACTGTCAGCGTCACTGTGGTAAGTGAACCACGGTCCAGGCCAAGGGCCGCAGTGGCAGGGACCCAGGTTGGGGGGCCCAGGGGAGCCTGTGGCTGGCTGTCTCCTGTGTGTTGCAGGTATCTTCCAGTACCAGACCATCTCCTGCATCAACTGCACAGACTCGCATGTGGTCTGCTTTGGCTACTACTGCAAGTATGGCTTAGCCACCTGTTCCACTGCCCATGGGGTCCCAGGATCACCACCTGGGCATCGAGGGGACCTGGGCTTTGGGGATACCCCATCAGCAAGCCCTGTGTTCCCCAGGTCATCGGCACAGTGGGAATCAGCTGTACAGGGCCTTCTGAGTTACATGTGAGCTGGGGCTTATTGGGCACCAGGACTCAGAGAGGGGGACACAGAGTGAGGCCACTTGGTCCCCTGACTCCAAACAAATTGTCATTGTAGAAATACCTGGCACAAGTAAGTTCCTGCTCCAATCCATCTCCAGTTTTATCTGAGACAGTGTGTGTGTGTACCTTATGGTGAGGTATCTGAAGCTTACAGAGGCCCAGGAGGACCTCATCCCCACCCCAGGCTCTCCAAGCTCAGTGGAAGGGGGCACACCATCCTGGCTGAAGGGTCTTCATGAAGCCTAGGGCTACCCTGAGTTGTGGCAGATCTGGAGGGTCTAATTGGTGCCTCATTCTATTTCAGACAGGATATAGGCTCGAGGTAAGAGGCCTTCCATAGGGGAGGACTAGGAGTTGGGGTGCGGGGGGTGAGGTCTTTGGGTCAGTGAAAGTGGGAGGGCATGCTGGGCAGGGCTGTGTGCCTGCGGGAACACTAGACATCTGTAATCACACCCCCGTATGGCCACTGCGTGAACCGTGCTGTCCTCCTCCTCTGTGGCCTGACTTTGGATGTGCAGAACCACCCCAGCCTTGTGAGTGACCTGGGGAACAATGCTATGAAGCAGCAGCAGGTGGCCGGGGGTGGTGTTGGTACAGAACTCCAAAGCCAAGCAGCCTCTTTGCCACAGAGCCCCCATGCTCTATTAAGGCCTTCCGTTGTGGGTGTTGGGGAGGGTGGATGGCCCCACCTGGCACTTGAGAACAAGCAGGGATACCTGTAATCCCAGCCTTCTAGGAGGCTTCTGAGGCATGAGGGTCAGCCCGGGCTAGATTAATGGGTCATGGAAGGCAGCCTGGAAAGGGGGGCAGGAGGGCATGAGCAGACAAATGGGCTTAGGGCACTTCTGCCCTCCTCCTCCCCCAAAGTCTTTCACCGAGAATAAGGTGTCTGGAACCGCAGCACCTGGCTAACCTGACCTTGGAAAGCGCCTCTGAGTGTCTGACCCAGCACTGACAGCGGCTGCTCGCCCCCAGCCTCGGTGGGGGCCAGGACTCAACTGCACTGTTGTAGCCTGTTCCTCTGGAAGAGACTAGCCATTGCCTGCCTCGGGTCATCCCATGCCAGGCTGGGCCGGGGCAGGGAGATGGGCTTGTGTATAAATATCGGGGCCCCCAGGCAGGACCCCCCAGAGATACTTTTGATTAAAGTGCCCTGATATTTCTCATGAAGAACAATTCTTTTCTGCCACATCGACTGGGTATTTGATGTATTTGGGCTTCTGAACATGTGTGGGTCTGGAGGAGTCCCAATCTCCTATCAATGGAGGAAGGGACCAAACAGCCTGGCTGGCACCTGCAGCATCTTACTCAGCATCTTACTCCAGAGTCTCTTGACTTTATCCCATGTATTCCAGTATGGGCTAGAGCATACCATGTAGCAGAAGCCCTTGAACTCTTCCTGCCTCCATTTCTTTAGCACTAGGATGAGAAGTGTGACTACTTGGCTTGTGGTGGTTAACAGTGGAACTCAGGATCTTCCTGCACTGAGCCCAGCCACCCCCCACCCCCAGCTCTTTGAGACAAGGTCTCAGCCTATAATCTAGGCTGAGCTTGACCTCTTACCTCAGGCTCAAGGTGGATGCTGCAGTGGGGTGAAAGTTGGGCCAAGTTAGTGTGTTTAGGGTTTCATCATGGAAGGCCCAGTCAGGAGACAGGTGGGCCACACCACAGAGTACCTGGCAGCAGGTGACCAGAGCCAGTCTAACATCTGGATTGGGAGGTGACTGACACAGGAGACCCAGGTTGTGGTGTCCTCTACCCCTACTGACAGGGGCACATGCCTCCACATATGTCCCTTAAGATTTTGCTCATAGAAGCAACTGCAGATAAGGTGGATGCATCTTTCTTTTTCTTTCTCTTTTTTGTTTTTTCGAGACAGGGTTTCTCTCTGTAGCTTTGGAGGCTACAGGGAGATCCACCTGCCTCTGCCTCCCAAGTACTGGGATTAAAGGTGTGAGCCACTAACACCTGGCACATTTCTTTCTCTTCCTTCCTTCCTCTTTTTTTTGGTTTTCTCAGACAGGTTCTCTCTTTAGCTCACAGAGATCTTCCTGCCTCTGCCTCCTGAGTGCTGGGATTAAAGGAGTACACCACCACTTTTGTGTCCAAGGGTGGATGCCTTTTATAAGAACTATACAAAAAGTCCCTCGGACTGGGACACTGGGTGTTGTGTTGGGAGGTCAAGCTACACTCTGCAGCCAGTCACCACTACAAGCAATGGTTTCTTTATATACACTGTTAGGGACTGCTGACAGCATTACCTCTCTGGGTTCTGGGAAGGGCTGGCAAGATGCTCAGAGAGTGGGAGAGGGTACTATGTTATATTGAGAGACAAGATTGCCTCAGAGCAGCATTTTGGAATTTAAGTTGCAGTTGGCAGGGCTCAGAGTCTGCTGGCTGACAAAGGTATGACTTCTTCCCTTGTCTCCACACAAGATGGCAGTGAGCAGTTGAGCTGCAGCAAGTGCAGTTTCCCCTCAGCCTCATGAACAGTAAGAAGGGGCCTTTTGCCTTTGCGAATGGAGAAGTGGATCGAAGTTAGGAGTACTGGCTGCTCTGGCAGAGAATCCAAATGTTCAGTGATGCATGGCTCACAACCACCTAGTGAACCTAGTGCCCTCTTCTGCCACAAGATATGCACATGGTACACAGACACATAAGTTTTGTTTTTGTTTTTTGAGACAGGGTTTGTCTGTGTAGCTCTGGCTGTCCCGGAACTCGCTCTGTAAACCCTGCTGGCTTCATATTCAGGGATCCCCGACTCTGCCTCCCAAGTACTGAGATTAAAAGTGTGCACCACCAATACCTAGCTACATAATTAAAAAAAATTTTTTTTTAAAAGGAGAAATGGAAATATGGTTCAATGAGCAACAGCGTTTGCTGCACATGCCTAAGGACCAGAGTTTGAATTCCAGCACTTTGAGTGGAAAGTGATGGAGCAGGACAACACTGTCCTCTGGCTCTGCACTCATGCTCACACAAAAATCGTGAGTGACAGCACCCATGGGTGGAGGTTGGGGGAACTCACTGTACCACCTGAATCCGAGGAATCTGAATGGCACACTGGGGACAGCTCTGGGGTACCATGAGGACACAGCAGGCAATACTGTGTTTTTCGACTCTTTATTTTGGGTCATTATGACATCGATCAGCAGCAGCGTGATATATCTCTCTTCACATGGGAATGTCGACAGCAAATCAATCACGGAACATCATAGAGCTGGAGGGTCACGTGGGGTCAGTAACAGAGTACTCTACATGCTAAAGTGACAGTAGTCCTCAGAGGGTCAGCCAGAATGTCTGCAGACTACCTACTGTCACCTCTGAGGAAGGCTCAGCTTGTGCCCAGCTACCCAGCTGTAGGGAGTATCCAGGCTGGGGTCCCCTCACCTTGCCTTGGAAAACCTGGGTGAGCACTAAATGCTGCCAGGATACATACCCTCCACTGCAAGGCACTGGCACTCAGGCCTCCACAGCTGTAGCATAGTGCAGGGACGAACCCAAGATGTGTAGTGACAAACTTGAGGGGCAGATTGCACTCCTCTGCTGACCACCACCCCCAACAGAACAGAATTCTGTTCAACAGAAGAAAATCAAAGGGCTCACTATTGTCAGCAGCTGAGCTGCACAACACCCACAAGCACACCTCATTCATCTGGCCATGCAGACTCTGGGGGAGAAGCATGGTCATAGCTGGCCTGGTCACCTCTCCACAGATCCCACCAGACAGGATATTTGGGGACAGCAGCAGCTGGAAGGGTTCCTCCAGAAACAGCATGGGGGCAGAAAAGTGTGATGCATCAGCCCCACTGTTTGCTAGAAACCTGGAGGCCCACCAGCCTGGAGTCCTCACAGCCATCTTCAAGAACGGGGAGTGGAGCTGGGAGCTCCTTGCTGGCTAGGGTTGGAATGGCCTCTCTTGCCAAAGGAGTGTGGGTTGGAATAAAAAAGGATAATAAAATAAGTTGATGCAACATAGGACGACCTCAGAGTCACACAGTGGAGGCCAGTGGCGTTAAATTAATGCTGGGTGTGGGAACACTACATGTGACAAAGGAGAGGCAAGACCCATCACATCTGTCCACAGTCTGTTGGGCATCCTGGACTCCGTCATTCAGCACTGGGCCAGCGTGGTCTTCATCTCTTCCAGCAGGCTGCTGAGCAGGGTGGCATCACTGCATTTCCCATCTACTGATACGGAGTTCTCACCCTAGGGGACAGCCACATGCATACACTGCCCATGCTGTGGTGGGAGGTGGTGCCAGGGCTGTAAATACCACCCTTCCTCCCCACATCTGGGGCCTAGGGCTCACTTTCTGTTTTTGAAACTACATAGCCTGAGTGGCAGGTGTGCAGCACACGGCCTACCAGTCATGGGCCTGAGACCGTTTCCTTCCTCTTGACCTGTGTCTCATCAGGTGGGGGCCTGGTGTAGTTGTAGGTTTTGGCACAGCAGGGGGAGAAACTGGTACAACTGTGGGGGTGGTACAGTTGAGGGGCCTGGTCTAATTGTGGGGGAACAGCCATGGACAGGGACAGGGAAGCTCAGCCTCTCCCTGAAGACTGCCTGGTCTACTGCAGTGAGCTTACCTTCTTCACCAGCAGACAGACATGGTGGCCCTGGATCGAGCGGCTGTACATGGAGGCACAGGAGTCTACTCTCTCCACCACTGCCAACAAATGGGAGCATCAGACTCATAATTCCTGGCAGGGTGCCCTCCAGGGCTGCCAAGAGCTGGGGCCCAGCTGAGATGGCACTCAGGGGCGGCAGGTCAAGGCCCTGGGCAGGAAGGCCCTGTGACACTTGTGTAATGAAACTGGTATCACTGTGACACTGCTTACCGGAAAAATGGTGGTGGAAACAGATCTTTGCCAGGAGGTTCTGGAAAGAAATACTAATGCCGTCGACTTTGATAGAGTTCATGCTCAGGTCTCCTGACTCCAGCAACTTGGCAAAGGCATCACTGTGGGAGGACAGAATGGAGGGTGATGGCAGGGCCTGGGTATCAGCACTAGGAATGTTGAGGCAGGAGGACTGCTTCAAGTTCCAAGGCAGCCTGGGCTATGTGAAAACATGAGAAGCCGGCACAGTGCAATCCTCTGGGGATAGAGAGGTCTTGGCAATGGTGCCTGGCAGAGGAAGAAGGTGGCCTCAGGAGAAACCAGCACCCAGGACAGTGGCAGACTGTGTCTGGAGCTGAAGGCACCTGTGATGATGGCTCAAGCAGACGCACGTTGCCGTCACCTCACACCCCACATCAAGCTGTCTGTGTACCTCCACAGCCTGGGAGGTGTCTCTGGTGGGGTGGAGGCACATATACCTGTAGCAGGGAGTGGTGATCAGGTAGGAACTACAGCTAAAGTGCAGCCGGAAGTCCAACTTCTCGTGGGTGGCCCCATCGTCGTCCTGTGAGGAGGAAGCTGCAGCTGTGGGGATGACTCCCAGGCCCGTGGTCCCTTTCCTGGGGTGCCTCACACCCTCTAGGGCAGGGCAGGGCAGGGCAGGGCAGGGCAGGGCAGGGCAGGGCAGGG